AGAGACACAGCCTTCAAAGTAGAGGCCACTCCGTTGGAAAATACATTCTTCCTCCAGACACGTGATTTAGTGGGGAATCTCTTTAAAAATACCATCCTCTAGAGAAAATCATTCGTTCCTTCTAAAATCATACGCACTGGCTGAAAATGGGCATAAATTCATGCTACAAACCACTAATAACGTGGTTCCACTTTGTAATGATGTGGTCATCCATTTTGACGATTCACAGACTACGGCACACCTCACAAATCCTTGGGGCCTTAGCACTAGACGAGTGTTATTTTTACAACAGCACATTAGGATATCAAGTGAGAGTCTGACCACACGCCAGACGATGTGTTTGGATAGTCCAAAGCGGTAATACAAGAGCTACGTGAAACGTGGTCATTAGCGGACACAGCGCACTATGAAGCTGGTCATCTGTTATCCACTAGTTTCCACCGCACCCAGATATTGTGCAATGATGGGGACCTCGTCAGAGTCCACACTGGGGGAAATAAATAGGCACCAACAACACAGATAATGGCCATAACCACTAAGACGCTCACTGTCAAATGGGTGAGATCAGAAGGCGCAGCTTGTGCTTTGAGCTCTCGTACATTTTTACCGGCATTCGGTGTCTCAACAATAGCATGAAGGCAGCATTGTTCCTTCTAAGAGAATGAGGGTGTCAAAACATGATATTCATCCGTGAGGCGCACAACTACCACAATTTTCCACCTCTTAAAAGGACGTTGGTCCTTAGACTGTTCTTCGAATGGTTAGGTACTACATAGAGGAGGGCGAATATAAAAGCACCTTTGGTGGCCTCAGCAGGCAGAATGTAGGGAGGAGACAAATTTACTATACCTTCTCGATCGGGAAGGAATAGTTGAGAGGAGGGATTAAAAGTGGTCTCTTATGAAGGTTGGTATTCCCACTGGGACAATCGTAAATTTATCCCCTGTCACTCGAGAGAGGGCTGACCAAGCGTGGACTGTCCTAAGAGTTGGTCTCTCCAAAGGGAGTGCTTACTACCAATCTACGTTTGACCGGAGAAGCAAAGTGTGTTTTTTATGATCAGCCCCCCCCCCAGAGGTGGATCAACAGCTAAAGATTTCTATAACAAGGAACGGTAAAATAACACAGCATCTCATATCACACCATACAGCAGTGTCACCGCATGTCAAATTTCAGTTGATTGAATTTAACACAATGTTAGACAGCTTCCATACTAAATTCGTCCCTCACTTAACAGAACGCCCACAGCAAGGTGAAACAATTCAAGTTGATTTCTGCGAAGCGGTCCAACAGATTTTTCCAAGCTTTGACGATGTCGAGGGATTTCGTGGACCATGAAGCTGCTATTCCCAAGGGGCTGTCTATTGTATTCCTGGTGTTATAAGGAAGGACAGAAGTAACGTTCTATATGGTACATCATTGCATTAACATCAAAATATGAGGTACGTACGCTACTACTTGTCCGTCCGGTTAGTACAGCGCATCCTCCATCCCACGGAGAAAATATTCTAAATGAGACAAGTTAGGTCGTCCTATATTGCTGATCTTTGTTCGCAAATACCACTATATTCACTCGTCTATGCACGCGTACGCGTTCTCGAAACCTTATAACGAGTGAGATATTTCAGCTGGCACATTAACTGAAAACAAGTAGTGCATTACGTATATACATGCATCGCGATATCTCGAATATCGTAGCAACTAAGACATGAGGCGGTCTGGTGCAGCACATCACAAACGAGAGATTCAGCTGGATTCCAGGTGAGTCTCTCGCAAAATCAAATTTGTTTGTAAATGACTGTATTTCGCTAACAAGTGGATTCCGTTGTAAATTATGGATGAACGAGAAGCCTGAAAAGAAAGCCGATGCAAGGTAGGACGGCACAAAATCGTACTGCGCCTCGAAGAATGCGCGACAAGCAGAAACCATCCAATGGGACAAGAAATCACAACCAAATCCACAGGATTGCCGAACATTCTCAACTTAAGAAAGATATTCGCTTTTGATTGTTGTTGAGTCACTCAGAATCGAATATTCCAGATAAGTGCACAGCGAATTCATGGTAGCCTATATATAGGACGGCAAGCTGGAAGAATATCGTGTAAGGGAGAAATAACAGGCCACATTTTCGCGAAAAGCACTCGACCACACCGGCAACTCAGTGATGGTATGCACATAAGGGCCGACAGCCTGTTTGTTCGGTCGTTCGGAAGGACTACTGCAATTTTGTCACGTCGGAAAAAATGTAGCTTAAATTACGATCTGTTGAGAGCACTAATGTAGGTCTTTCAAAGGTCCCAGCTAATCATCCCAAGACAGATTACTGTCTTTCATTTTTGATGGATTCATGTATTTCGCTGTTTCTGTGTTACCCCCTGTTGGGGATGTCAGTATCCCAGAAACCATTTATTTTTCGAGTTATTGCCAGGTTATTTTCCCAAAATTTTAAATTTTTAAACTTCGCGCGTTTTCCGCCAAGTTGCCCCTCAGTCCAAAAAGACCGCGCCCTTTCCTAGTGGCCAGGTATACTTTGTGTGCGCTAACTGATTTATCGCGCCCGAAATATATATATATATATGACGTTGCTCACACTGTAAGTCGCCCTTGGTTGAGGCAATAAAAAGCCCTCCCATCAAGGTCTGGTCTTCTTCTCTCTGCGCTAGGAGTGGTGGGCCTCGCGTCATAGTTGGGGATTGTGCGCTCGTTCTCAGGTCACGTATAGCCGTTGATCGTACCCACTTCCGTATATAACGCCCCAACCGCACCCAACTTTGCAGTCTCGTGTTGTACAAAGCCCAATTTGGTTCATAGATGTGATAATTGCTGTGGTTTTCTCTGAAAGATTCAAATATCCGCGTATTTTATCACGACTCATCTTTCGGGGTTTTCTGCCAGTTTCTACATCTGAAAAAAATTCGTGCGGTAGGAAACACCCGGGGTTCGTAGTTCCCCATCCTTTCAATAGTGCCACAAAGCACGAACTTTACGTGCCGAACGTCCGGTAGAGCGGCAAGACGTTAGTGTCTTCAAGACCTCTAACACTCGGTATAAGAAGACGCATTAGACGCATGTTGAACAACATCAATCTGATGGATGCAGTTCACTAAATTGCTAACGTGCTTGTGGAAAAGCACGGAGTGACGTTCACTTAAAGCCATACAGTGCCAGGTGGTGGTGAGACCAGCGTTTTATGCGGCCTTCACATACCTGAACTCAATTTCAAGCAAATGTCCCAAAATTCAGGATTGCGTGGATGAAGTGGATGCATCTGTTTGTCGACAATACACACGTAATCCTCGAGATGTCCGGGATGAATTAATGCAATAGGAAACAGGTCTTCAAGATAACCTGTTTCATTGGTCACCAAAATGTGAAGAATGGGATGGAAAATTTCAAAAGTCAGCTAAACAGATAAATGATGTAGATGACCACACGTGGTAACTGGCCATAAATCCTCCCTTATGTAGGAACAAGTCGGTTTAATGCCAAATATTGATCAGTTAGGAAAACGTGTTGAAGTCATATGACTCGAAACCCACAGATGGGCTTTTACCTGTAAATGAGGTTAAATGACCTCAAAGACAGCTTCTATTTCGGTCTAGGCAACCGGGGGTATGCTAACCACATAACGAATCCGCAACAGAACTTCACGTGCAATAGCGCTCCGCCTCACTACTCGACCGAGGTAACGGTGGTCCGGTAACACCAATTCTCCACCAAACCTGTCTTCAATACCCTCACCTATGTCTTCCTCCCTATCTTTCATTGCCCACATTCAACATTTCTAACAACCGCAGCATCGACTGATGTACCACTACTGTAGTAACATTCACCCATACCAACAATCTCAATCCACAAGGTGATTTAAAAATTGTCCGGTAAGAGTACCTTAGCAACTAGGATAGTTTAACTTGGTGGTAGTCAAAGTCACAACCACGTTGGTGACAAGCTGAGAGGCTACAAGTGTCCAGACCGTGGAGTTGTCGAATATGAAACACGTCCCTCTAAAACTTCAGTACGGATATTACCCTATGTTCCACGAACGACTATTCCGATAAATTATACAGATTACAGTTATCTGGGGATCACCATGCTGCAGCAACAGACCGGGACTATGTTATAATATCACCTCGTGTAACTATTGAATCGACCCCGTTCCATCGGGTCCCTATGAATTGTAGAATTGTGTGATTGGACTTTGCATTCAGAAACTTCGAAACACGAAAAAAACGAAACCTCTTAAATTTAAAGGTGCATTCATCAGCTAACTGTAGCTCCGATACATGCAGGAACTGGTGATTAAAGCGCGTAATAACATTGTTGCTTTAGACAGGATGAGGATGACCGTCTGTTTCTCTCATGTGCCAACTTCTGACAGGGCACGTATCAGTGGGTCCCCTAGTGTCCACCATCTCCTAACTGCCGACAGCAGCGAAGTTACTGCATGTCGGTCAGTTATCGATGAAGAGGCTGTTTATTTGAGTTAACTCTGATCACGTCCTAACACCAGCAAACTTAACAGTGGACATCAAAAATGCCATCTCAAACAGATGGACGTTAATCGCTTAGAAGACCCGGTAGAACACGACTACGTAGCTGGATTGCTGCACGCTTACCTGTCCTCCCACCCGAAGCCATCCCGTACCAGAGGTTTTACGTCCGTGACAGCATGTTAACATCTGCTGCCACAGTGTGGTGCACCTAAACTAGGCAAAACTAGGTACTGTATCTCCCTCCCTAATCCCCTTGTACTGTCAAAGCACTCCGGCTGGCAGCAACATCAACCCCGTTTGTAAGATGTTCGGAAACTGAAAACAAGGTTCAAAATGACAACACGCTACTCAGAAGGTTGCTGGAAAGACTTCAACAGCTTACAATCAACTTTGTCTTTCCTGTGGATTATCAGATAGACGTAGTTCCCGAGTTCCCATCAACATTACAATAGGAAAATGGGTGTAGTGGACTTGCCATGCTGCTTTTGCTTATCTGACATTTGCAGTTGCGCTTCACGGCCGGTCAGCCGGCAAAAATCACTTCCAATAAGTTGCAATGCATCCTACGTTATTACTCACTCGGATAGGGAGGGGAAATAGTGTAATTCTATTGAGAGAAATACTGGACACAACCGAGTCGAACAGCACCGATAGCACCAATTGATCACTGCTGCTGATGCTGCTGGTGCTGATGATGATGATGACGAAGGTGATGAACTAGCTACAATGCGGATGAAAAAATCGCTGCGGAAGTCAGCTTTGCACCAGTCTATAGGTAAAAATAAACCGGGACCAGAATAGGTTACTCATTAATCACAGGGTTCTTGCGATGGAGTAGATGGCGTGCGTAAAAATCAAGGATTTTTCCTAGTCAAGTTGGTCAAACTGTCTTCTTTGGGCGATGTAAAAAGGAGGAGTTGTGATGTATCGTTGTTCGTTGGTACAAGAATGGAATTATGTGGCAGAGTTTCAGAACCCCTGGGGTAAAGGACTCGAATAATCATCACAGGTAACAATAGACCAATACTTCAATCGAAGGGAATTAACTTGTTGATTCGAAGACGATCCTATTAATGAGGTCTTGGTGCATGCTATAGGATAAAATGCCCGACCTAGACGCACCTAAGGAAACTGGCTACATTCGGTGAGTAAAAAGCATCGAACGAAGCATTATACAAAAATGGACTCACCGGAAGAAACTGCTGTATCAGTTCATTTAATTTCTGATCGTGGTCAGCGGCCGCATTGAACAATTGAGGGAGATTGAGTGGGACTTTCCGGAACAAACCCTTGTTGTTGTTGTTCGCACCGAAACTCTGGTCAGCCGAGTTGAAGGAACAATCAGTAGCTAGTTTGCTCTCATTAGTACCATAGGAAACGTAATCACTTGATGACGGTTCATCGCTCGAGGAACTGCTGTCGTAATCGTAATCGTCATCGTCATCATCATCATAATCGTGGTCGCGCTCCTCCGAATCGGTAGTATACTGATTTTCTTGCTCCAGATCAATGTCACTCTCGACACTTTCGCCAGACGCTCCAGTGCCGTCGGAGAGACTCCGATTTGGAGCCTCCCCTGCACCACCTTGAAGTTCGGATACGAAGGAAACAGACTCAGGTGGCCCAGTAGTATGGGCTGTGATACCCCGCGGATAAGTAGAACCGGAAGTAGGAGTGACACAGGCGGGTGAAGTGGAACCCAGGTGTGGAGACTTTAAATTGGCACCAAAACTCAAGGAAGATGGAACGAGAGAGTCAAGTATGGTCCGGTCACGCGAATGGCCGAAAGATGTATGGGAATACTGGCTCCTCATAGAACTCACATCTGTGTTCACATAGGGTGAAGTCAGAGAAACCGAACGCCTGACAGACGACTCATTCGGGTGCTGATCAGGGGGGAAGAATGCAGTCGGACACGCAGTGGCCGGCGACTGAGAAGTCGGGAACACAGGATAGCCAGAAACAGAATGTCTAGAACGGATATCTTGCACATGACTGCTATTGAAATGAACATTCGCTACAGCAGAGGAATCCAATGCATGTTGCGGAAGCTGAGAAGAGTGAGACCATGATTCATCAGAAGTTGAGTGCCGAATGTGATGGGACAGATTAGTAAGGGATTGGTTGAAATCGTAAGGTGTGGAGAGCTGACGATATGCGTGTGGTGGTGGTGGTGGTGCATAAGCAGGTAAGGGCTTGGTGCTCATGTTGTTGTTGCTGCTGTGGGGCAAGCAGGAAATAAGTGATCCTGTGGGGAATACGTGGTCTGGACCGCTGAAGCGACAACGTTTGGATGCAGATGAATTAGGAAACTGGGGCAAAGTCGATTCCGTCGCCATTTTACTGCTGGATGTGCTCGGTGGAGTGGCTGAGTAGGGTGTGTGACACGGAGATAAACATTCCGTCTGAAGGTAACAAGAAAGCAGTTTAGTTACACAGACGGTGGCGATAGTAGTGAGCGTGAACAAACCGCCAACTTCAAGATGAACAATGGTGGACACATGAAGCACCAAGAAATACTTCAGCTAATGCTGTTTATAAGTTAGCTGAGCATAGGTGTATGCAACGGAGTGAACCAACGCAACCGATAGCGATAATTACGACTATTAATAAGGCTAACAGTAGCCTGGTGACTAGAGATCTCTAACGGCGGGGACACCAACGCAGGTCGCGCCAGAGCACGAGCGAGAGAGAGACAGGTTGGCGTTCAGAGTAGCCTGAACGGCTCCGAGTCGGTACACAAATTCATATCTACCGCACGCACGCGCATACACACTATCGTTATTAACAATTGGTTTCACCTCAGTTAGAGTTATCAGGTGAGTATGAGATGATCCACTTATACAAGATCTGACAATCATACACAAACTCTGACACACAAATGGAGAAGCACACACGCTGTTGTGGCACACATGCACAAATAACCTGTCAACCGGGTGTAAAAATCAAAGCTCAGCTCTAACTGGGCTGAAAGCTTATTGGCACCCCACAGTGTGCTCAGTTGTATACGAGCGTGTGCTCAAGATGACCAACGCGCTGAACAAGTGGGTGGGGACGGTGTTGTAGACGAAGTCTCCCAAGAAGAGCAATAAAAGGGCTTCACAAAACACTAACGAATACTAGTGAAGTTAAGACCACCACGGTCGACTACGGTGTTCGTGAATCGGAAGAGCGAAAGGTACCGTCGAGGTAAACACACTGCCTACATCAATAGTGTTCTACACACTCGACTGCTGGAAACCATAATCTAACTTAGGATTCGATCCAGACATGATATCTGAAAGTGGCAGAGTACTATCGCTGTTGGATCGATGGAGTGCAATAGCAGCATCTCAATCACAAAACACGATTATGAATTCAAAGCGTAACTAGAATGACGAATTATCGTGAAATGACTTAATATGAAGTTCACCTGCAAGCAGTAGCTGATCATCACTAAGACACCGCCTCATTGAACAGTGTGCAATCACTGTTGTTCTTGGTACGGTCACCACCAACCCAACGGTTGCGAAAATGAGAACATCATCGGCGTCCTGATGGTGTACCATCAAATGGTGGAAAAACGTTCGCACGTCAACTGCCAAGCCCGGCAACAGGTCAACAGCCAAGCGATCAATTATTAATAAATGCATCCGAGCTACAACACGCGGCTGTTCTGAAAACTAAATATCGTATCCGACAGATTGCACACTTTTGTACCAGAAAAGTATAATTCTGTGAGGATGCAACGGGAGCCGAAATATTATGACGAAACTTCCCACCACCAATTGAAGCATACCCGACACATCACGATGAAAGGTTCTAACTATCCGAATCGCTTGCTTTTCATTTGCAGGCTTCCCCTATCCATTTCAATCAATATCAAATCAGGGCTAAGGAAATAATTAATATGTTTTTCACAGCTTGTGTCAATTACCATGAATATGGACGGCTGTAGAGCTCTGTCACAGCAGGATCTCTAGTTAAGTCACCATACGAGAGTCAAACCTAACTGTTTTTCCCGAACCCTAGGGTAATCGAGAGTGCGGTCACATGCACACGCAATAAGTACAGAATTGACGTGTTCGGCAACTTGAATCCCATCTTCGAGCGAGACCGAACAGTCGGCAAACATTGCATCAGACGCACATTCGGCACCCGAGTGACCACGTGGATACAAATAAGTTATGTGATGTCATGGGTAAGGTTACAGATGAAGATAGTTTTCTAGACTCGAAAAAAGGAATTTGTTGAGGTGAACTGAGCGGATGCGGTTCCGTAACCACGGATCCTATGGTCCCAAGATCTTTCTCATATCTGAAACTTTACGAAAAATTGAACCATTCTTCCGTAACATCCTCTGAGTGCAAATCGGTGTAAGGACTTCATATGAGGTGAAAGGTATTAGACCTACAAGCAACTTATTTAAGGCCATTTTCACACGAATGGGGGTGAACGATCACTAAGAATTCAGGTATTTTGATTTCCTTTTGGAAATGTAAAATATCCATTTCCACTGATGAATTCGAAGCAAGCGTGCTATACGAACACAGTACTAATAAGATTTTCACAACTCAATAACTTACAGTCATGCCAGGAAATGTGATAGAATACAGTTTCAACCAAGTGTTGGGGAAATTAACATCGACTGGTTCAGGGACCGATTTCCCTGCAGTTATCTTGAACCATTAGTGCGGACCACTGAGGTCAACTGAGGCGAACAGCTACCACCGGCTTCGGTTTGCCGAAAGTGAGCTACGGAGGTAGCATGGGATGATTGGGCTACGTATCAGCTGTTACCGACGTCTTTGGTGATCCTACCTCAGACTATATTCAGTGGCAAATCAGACGGAAACATTTCTACGAAGTAAGGACGTTAGAATGGAACACCACCTCAAAGAATACAGGTGTGGATAGGAATGGTCACACGAGCGAAGTGGGTCCTGACGGGCGATAAATGCCAGCAGAAATTCGTGCTTGAACAGGCTATACCGCGAACGTGAACGCGACCGGTTGGCTGCAAATGTGTGCAGTTGGTTTATCCACATACAATCGATAGAACCTAACGGTGTGAAGTGCGGACAACGTAACCCGTGTCCTCATCAGGACGTGGTGACCGACGCGTGAATAGCACAGAGCCAAACACGAAGATTTAGGAGTACGGTCATCCTGTTTTCACCTCATAACTAAGATCGTTTAAAGTTGGTTTTTAGTCACACGAGTACGGGCCCTGTGAACGGATGACGAGAAATTCGTGCCCAGGAGTGGTGCGCTTACAGGTAAGACGATAGATGGATATGTAACACAGTGGAACAGCAATGTGCGATCTAGATGAAGTCTGCGCTCAAAATAATCTCCCTTCCTGTCCGGGCGAAGCTACTCTGGCTATTCCACAAGGGAGCATCCCTACGTGTGTTTCGACTAAGCGGAACAAACTGTTTTGATGAATGATGTGAATTCAAAATTCCATAAATCACTCAGCCACACATAACTAATGCAGATAAATGCTGCTATGTTTTCTGCTGAGCAACCACGCTGATAATACATTCAGGGTAGAACAGCACAATTGTTGGCGAGCTTGGTCTGAAGCAGGAATCCGAACACGCTCCCTGGCATTCTCTACATATGCGCCCATGGCCACTCTAATACCGATATTTACTCTGGTGGGGAAGTTACAGATAAATGATGAGTCACTGGATAGGTAATTAGGTCACCTGTATTTCACAAACTAAAGTACACATAAATCCTGTTACTTGCCGTTACAGTCACCCAGTGGTTGAATAAGTCTGTTTTCGCGCCACCTGTATTTCACAAACTAAAGTACACATAAATCCTGTTAACTGCACGTACAGATCACCCAGTGTTGAATAAGTCTGTTTTCGCGCACCGAAAGTAGATGGACAATATAGTGGAATTATTTGCTTTACCGAGACGTCGATAACTCAAGTCAGTCAAAACGCAGAATTTGAGGATCGAGCAAAGTCTTCTCGAACGAGTTATTTAAAGAGATCCAAAATGAGTTGCGAAGGCACGCAAATGATTGAAATCTGCATAATACCTACTTTCATAACGACCCATATCCAGAACCTTAACTCCCGTGTTGGTATTCCCATCATAGTGCCAAATTCAACAATTGACTATGCCGCAACGTGCAGGAAGTATCATGCCAGTCCGTTCCTATTCTCGTCACACCCATTATTGGCAGCAACTAGACGCTCCTTCATCGGGCCTCGGAGTGCGAGTGCGTGGGCTACGCACTGAGATCGAGTAAATGAAGGAAACAGGTGACGAATGTGGTTGTTGTGTCAAAGTGCACGCAGCCTTCGAGCGCAAGTACACGCAAGTTAGAGCGTGATCTGTACGTGCAACGACCCAGTGCACACGTCCACCGGCCTAAACGTAGAAAAAGCAGAGGCTAGGGAAGCGGTCAAGAACGATGGAACAAACGCAGCTGAGGACCATTTCAGAGCAAGACGCCATCGACGGACTGGTCCAGCATGCTCCACATATCTTATTTGCCGGAAAATTTTCACCGGCTGGCGTTTGGGGAGGAAAGGAGCAATTTACTTGCCGTACTTAATGCACGTTCTAACGTGATAAGTTTTGTTTGCCGTTCCAGTGTTGCGGACGTGCTGCTGCTAAATCTTGCTATGCTACGTTTACCCTTACAGTGCCGTTGTATGCACAGCCCTTTGGCTTCCGGGGCAACAAAAGCACACATTGCTGGCACTTCGGGAACGCTGTCACAGTGGTCGCTGCTGAGATACGTAGACCTAGCAGTAGTGTCACGCTCTGGAACTTAAAATCAAAAAGGGGATTTCAAACCTTGAGGCGAGATTTTGCATTTCCAAGGGCGCGAACCGCATAATGAAACAGGGAACGAATCTCAACAATCCAATCAGGACACATTAAGTAAACTGCCGAAAATCGAGTTCCAATACCAGATCACTAGCTTTCTTCATGCACAAGTTCGATTCTTGAATTTACGATCCCTTGGTTGCATCAATGACACAACTGAACAAATATGAGACGGGGCAGCTCTAGCAAATATCACGTATTATGAGGTTTTGGAAAGCCCAATACAAACTCTTCAATAACAATAAGTGTTGAAGCACAGAACGCAGAGTACACTCACAAACTTTCATGGCATTCTCAGCCGCACAAATATGTGTACTAAGTTTATAGAATCAAAGACCCCTTAGAAGTCGAGGAAAACATCGATTGCTAGTAGTAGTATCTGTGCGGAGGCCAATACATTTTACGTAATGTGAAAATGAGCCGAAATCCTGCCTGATGCGATGGGATAAACACTTCAGGTGACGGAGTGAAGGTCACAGTACTGACAATGCTAGGAGATGTGGTACGACAGGTACAGGATCTAGACCTCCTTGGCCGACTGGTCTTACTGCACACAGACAGGTCCAAACAATCTAAGCAAGGTAGAAAACAGACACCACCAAGTTTAGACCTCATCCGGCTCAGAAGCCTGATAGCGTTTTATGGCAGAAGACCTAAACCGAGGGAAATCTAAGCTGACCGACACACAACGGCTCACTTTGAGTGTGTTGAATGGAAAACTGCTTGAGGGTGGGTGAAAGATATTTGCTTGTAAAACTAATGAAAGAATCCGCACACGTAGATCTTTCTACTTCCCGTATACTAACAGCCAGTTGATTTGGGGTTGTTTTACACTGATATCACGAAAGCTGTTTCCGGATAGCCAAGCTGTTTAGTGCACCACTTCGTTCGCAGCCATCGGAAGACAAGTGCAAATACCTTCGATAAATACTTATTCGAAAAGTCGCCTGAGACGAAACCGACTCAAATGAGAAAACAAGATGAATGGAAACGCAAAAAGACAGGGTCCCTAAAAAAGGGCCAAAAGGCAGCGGCAAACGACATGCAAACATGCACTTGCACACAAATATACAGAACAGGTGGAAGTCATGTTAGAAATACCCACTGGTGCCAAACAACACGTATACTTGGCGGGAAACAATCCAGAAAGACACCCGAGTACGTGGGGGGAGAGAGAACTGAGAATATGCTGACGCGGACAATAAGCAATCATGTCGACTTTCCAATGGATAATTGCAGTCGAGCCAACGATGAAGAATGTGACATTGAGTGCATTCATTATTCAATAAGGCGTTTAGGAGAGATTTGACAAGAAATCAACCTCACACACCCACATGAAAGAGCAGTGTTGAGCAAACACACAGCTGAAGACCAACAAGATACTCGAATATGGATGCCGAGCCATTTGTAACTAGCAGTGTACTCCATTATGCATGCAAGAGAAGAATAAGTTCCAACTTTTCTATGAAAAAGTGACAGTACTCTTATCGTTGACATCATTCGAAGATTAGTGAATAATAGACAAAAAATTAACCAGAAGAGCTGCTACAAAAGAAGATATCCAGTTGCAGACCACATGAATGCTCATCTGTTGGTTGTAAGGGTAATTCCACCAAGTGCCGAAGATAATCTACGCATCCGCAGCTATTCATTTCATTAGATCCTGTTTACCATAGTCAATTCATTTCCTTAGCATCAGGTAGACTGAATTAGGATGACTGCGCGAACTATTTGGGCAGAAAAAATGTGATGGGGTTTACGTTTTCAAAAATGACTTTGTGTTGACAACCCCTCTTACAGTCAGCTTTATTAATAATGAAGCCATCTGTGATGTCGCTCAAACGACAACAACGTTGTGTAAGTCATTAGACTGGGTGGTTCATCAACTGAGATCAAGTGTTTCATTAGTGACGAAGATTGCCTTCAATGGACGCCGTAGTCCCACAATCCAAAGCCAGGCATTTGGGTGTTGTTTCAAGCGCACCTCGAGCTCCCAGACTACTTCATCTCAATATTGAGTACCTACAATCATCTACCGAAAGTAACCAGTAAATCGAACAAAATGGACCATTTCCATCGTCGCCCAAGAAACATACGTATGCAGTCGAAACGTACAGCTCGTGCGTTTTAATTAGTGCGGCAAACAGAAGAAATCACACTCCTGCCTCAGTAATACATGGTTTCACGAGGTTTCCCTTGGTGTGAATCCAATGAACGATATTACTTGATAAAAATAAGCAACGATTGTCCATTATGATGTAATTGTTTGATTGGTTCCATTTCGTAATCAGCAGAGGAAAAGGAGACATATCCATACATAACAAAAAGGCTTGCCTCGTTCGGTCCGACGCGAATCTGTCTGGAACTGTCAGACGAACGTCGTTCGCGTAACTAAACGATTGATTTAGAGTGCATGACTAAAGAACACGGTCTGGCGCTTTTTCATAAGGCGATGAGTCACGCACAACCACCATCCGTACCCTAGTTCGTTTTCCAATGTCAAACCGTAGATAAGTGGACGACGTAACGGCGTCTAACCTAGGCTAGCTACCCTCATGGTTGAAAAGCAATCTCACGACAGAACATGGCAACACAAGTACTGATACCCTTGATATGACACTCGACCGCTCACTAGAATTCGTGAGTGAACTGAACTTTAGTTGATGATCGAGTCTGTTTGGATAAAATATTTTGAAAATGACATGATTTGTTGCTGCATTCTGATTCGTATGGAAATCCGCGACTATCTTGTTAATAGACAGAAGAACGAAAATAAACACTGGATCGTTATACTCATTCATACAAAAGGCACTACCTCACATGAAGTTGCAGGTCGATTTTGTCCAGACGGGAGGGGCCTTAATTCCACTACCTTTGTGAGCATGTAAGTCACTAGTTAACAATTTCAAGCCCCATCAATTAAGTTTAGATTTTAGAACCATGTGTGATCGGAAACAGTTCAAATGACGTAATCTGTTAATTGGGCGAGGATAAAATGGTATATTTCCTTCAAGATATCGAAATACCAGTAATAAAGGACGATCATCCACCAGTCGGTTCACTGCCAGATTCGCAGCGCAGATTCGAGGCCTGTATGCTAAAGCACTTTCAAAATACATGAGTGCATGAGTGGACTTTCGACTGAATTGTTTTAAGTCGGGGATTGGTTGTCCCAGATTCTGAGAACTATGTTTACGTGATGAGCACCAGAGAGGAACCGAAAGTGGGATGTCTATGCATTTCCAATAAACGTTCCATTCTATTTATACCAAAACAAAGCAAAGTTTATTACTAATCTAGGTGACATCATCGGTGTGTTATTGGGGGCTGTAGTGATGCGTAGCCCCAATAATGCACTGATGATGTCACCTCGATTGGTGATGAAACGTTTGCGATTATATTGCCCAGCTCAGCGAACAAGACAACGACCATCTACGCTACCTGAGGTACCAACATGTTCCTCTACAGAAAAACAAAGCAAATTAATTAAATATCTTTGTAACGGGATCTCGAAGCGGCCAGTGTGCTGCCAATTACACAGGACAATACCGATATACTACTGAGCCTCCAGTTTCAGCGTTTGAAGTCAAAAGTGGAGTATCATCATTGGACATGGTTCTGGTACACTCCTCATTCCAACCTTAGCGTGATTTCGAAAACCCGCTTTTAAGAAGGAAAGTGAAAGGGAGGTAGTCAAGACAACTATTTTGGCCACATCTGAGATTCACTAATTCACTCCCTAATTGTTGCACAAATCATGTTGGACGGCCATACTTATGGGCCTAACTGTCAACAGAAATTTGCGTTCAGTTGGAGAAACTTAACACAACAAAAGCCAATACAAGTGGGTCTAATATTTGTAACCATAATTCTGGGCAATACGTCTGCCTATTAAATCCAACATTTCAATAGTATATTAATGCTTAGGTGTGTATATTCCACATCCCCAGTATGACCGTCGTGCTGTACTTCATAGAGGGGATGTTGTGCGGTCAGTTTAGAACGCAATCGCTGCAGACAATTTCGCCAGGCGCACTGCAATTAATCACCGCCACCCACTCATACCCTAATCATCATAACGCACAACCAGCAGCAAGGGTGTCACTTAGCTGATTTTTCGAGCTTATCAATCGTAAGGTTTGTAACAAACTACGAATTGGTGACAGTCAATCTAAAGAACCAAACTTGGATGTTTCGTCGCTTCACAATAAAAAAGAAATATTCGTAAAAAGACATGCTACAGAGGAACCTGGTTTCACTCAGTTGCAAACATTTGGAGTTGTTCACAATTCAAAACATGCGATCAGGTAGTCTGACTCAACAGTGTCTTTGCTCAGAATGTACGCTTCATAAGCTCTTTACTCAATTGCAGAGACTAAAAAGGACCCGACTCTGCGAAGATCCCACAGACAGCAACCCGGCCTTTGGAAGTCGCGTTTAGTAGGTTGATCGCTTCTATGTTTGCGCTGCTGTCGAAAAGCTACCGGAAGCATCTTTTTTGGTGGCCCTTTTCAAAAAAGACACAAACCAAGCGACTGGTCCATGGCCCTTAATAGGAATAAGGAGTATTGTGGAACAAACTACCCGCCCGAAAAACTGCATAGTCTGTGATGCCAATATACCATTAGGAAACCCGTTATCTAGTTAAACAGTTGCCTAACACTGACATAACGTGAGTAAAACATTTCAGAAAGAAAAGCGTTGAGATCTGGAAGAGCTACCAGCACCTCACCTTTATCGGAACAGTCCCAGGAATATCCGTCGGCGGTGGCGTTGATCCGTTGGATGTGTTCACACCCTGAACCAACGAATTGGAAACAGACGCGGCAGCCACAGCAGCAGCTGCTGCAATAGCCATTGCGGCGGAACTCCACGATGGTTGTTCTGTTCCCTCTGAGACTTCGGTGGTAGAGGGCCAGTGGGCTAAGAGATTATTTGCAAGAGCTGTGCCAACGTTTTGACTAGAATGATCGGCATTTCGAATGGACTGTTCCACGGATTTGTCCGTCACAAGACGCTTGGAACCGATGACATTGTGTGGAAGACTGCATAGTACATCTGAGGAGAGGCTGTGAGAGGATGAATATTGTGTGGGTGGAGGTGGAGCCGAAACCAGTACTGGCACGCGATATAAGGACGTAAAGAAAGCCTGATTTAACGGAACTCACACATCTTATTCCAAGGTGACAATCTATTAAAAACCTAACACAAGCTGCCTAGGGTATATTAGTGTAACTATGAATAACCGCGTTAATTCATTCAGCCTACTGCATGAATCGCATCAAAATATTGATTTGGGTCAAACAGAGCTCTCCGTTCCTGTAACGTGTACACCCGACTCTGTAACATCGGTGATGGCCGGGAGTGCGGGTAGGGGTTGGAGACAGTGTGAACTGAAACAACGTTAAGAGATGCACGGAGAGAGCATACAGTGAAAACTGTTTGCATGCTAATGATTAACTCAGTTGAATTATTTTTTACGTGATAATTGAGTAGAACCAATAAAAGGACGATCAGGAGTTCGTTACTGGAAATTTGTTGTACTTTGCAAAATTTGCGAGTCAGTCATTCGCCTGAAGTCAAACGTTGTTGGTCCAGTTAAAATTGGCTCCGCTCACATGGTCGGTCACGATAAAACAAAGGGTGGATACGGGAGTGTACAACCGGGTGGTTACATTGGCCGTCACTATGGTTACCACGTTCTTATGACTATATGTCTTCAGAGGAAATCTGGTGCATCGGCAAACAACCAGATCTCGGATATGCAAGGACCAGGCATAGGCAATCAGATAGAGGGTTCACTAGGGTCGACGAAAATAAAATGACAGGTCTAATGTGCTGTGTTATTATGGTCGTAGCAATAGATCTAAACCCTAACTACACATCTCAAGCGGTTGTCACTGCGAATCAAAATGGGACCTTCTCATTCAAATCACATTTTGGGCTCATCTATACGTGAACCTACACTCTGCTATTCAAGTGAACCACGGTGACCAAATGGCACAAAGGGGCTTGGATTCCACTTTACGCATTTCTTTTTTTCATCCAATTAGAGCGGTGGATCACATTCATTCATTTCATTCCAATCACCATCATAGTCTGGTGTTGATAACCTCACCTGCAGACGCCAGTCTATTCGGGCACGTTTCTTCCCACAATTTTCATTCTTCACTTCTCAGACTCCATCCAAATCAATCTAGTTGCTAGAGGACATAGGCTGCATTGACTGTCGAGTCACACTAAATGAAATTTCAAACGTCACTTTTGTTCAGAAAGTGTACAATGACACAACAATACTGGTTCATAACGAACGTCTTGCTACGTTGTCGATATTATCGCTGACCCTGGTCGCAAAAATTCACAGAAATTTCTCGCTCTGTTAGTTGCACAAAGCAGTGCGTGAGGGAATTTGCGGACAAGCACTATCACCAATATATATATATATATATATATATATATATATATATATATATATATATATATATATATATATATATATATATATATATATATATATATATATATATATATATATATATATATATATATATATATATATATATATATATATATATATATATATATATATATATATATATATATATATATATATATATATATATATATATATATATATATATATATATATATATATATATATATATATATATATATATATATATATATATATATATATATATATATATATATATATATATATATATATATATATATATATATATATATATATATATATATATATATATATATATATATATATATATATATATATATATATATATATATATATATATATATATATATATATATATATATATATATATATATATATATATATATATATATATATATATATATATATATATATATATATATATATATATATATATATATATCGTGCAAGACAATATGACAGCAACCTTTCAGGTGATCACACAATCACGACCAGATGAGGCAGAGAATATCATGTCGCCTTGACCACCAGTTGTTTTCTGCGATGCAACAAAATTCAACTAGGACAATCAGATATGCTACTGGGATCAACGAGAATCTACATTTATATACAAAATCAAGGACAGTCTTTGATAGTCCGGGATAGTTTTTATAGTCACTGCTCAAATAAGTTGGGGTTTCCGCCGATTTCGCCCCCACGTCAAGGCGTCCATGAGTAATCCACCAGTTTTTATAAAAAAAAGATGCTGGGTGATTATGTTACAGTGCGTAAGTGTTCAGACCAATAGTCATTAGTGGAGCGACATTGCACTCCAAAAATACTGTCCAAACTTGGATGGTCGTCATGTGGCATCACCCGATGGAGGAGTGGCGTTTGCGAGTACACCTGAGCTAAGCTCTTATGATTGTCACGGGAGAATATATCATTACATCTTGATACATCCACACATCCTGATATACAATGAACGATATGATGACAGACCTTCAGAGGATCACTTGATAGGCTGACATTATAAAAGCCTGTTATTACTCAATCTGCTTGAAATGCAGTTGTCGTCCACAACTCGAACTTCGCCTAAGAGGTGAGCAACACTGATTTACATCGTAAAGATAATGGATCGCAGAGGGAAAAAGTCTGAATTAGTTTGGCTTAAACTGGCATGCATAAAATTCGGATTCAACCCCACTTGAAAAGCTACGAGGAACAACATATCTGTATGGAATGTGTGTAGCCTTCGGCAGCTCGGAGGACCACTGTCAGAATGAGGGAGAGTGAAACTGATCTCGGGAGGTACTTTGCGCAAAAGCTGTCAGAACGGTCAGCCGGCGCTTCGAAAATAGTACCTTAATGCAATCCGTTTCGCTGGGTATCGCAACGGCTTCGTTTCTTTCGCAACTTTTCAGCACTTCTCTTACTACGTATTTGAATTATACGTGAAAACTACGAACAAAAGGTGTTTCTATTGGAAACGAACTGTCATGTCGCATAACCTGTTGCTTGTAACCTGTCATGTCGCATAACCTGTGTGCTTGTAACAAATCAGCACTCTTATGATCAGTCAGCCTACTTTATTGTGGAGAGCGAAAGCTATTCAGGTGCCAGAAACGGTTGAACACTAATTTACTGGTGCCACACCATTCAGTCAGCTGTAGCATCCTCTCGGCGCCTAGCTGTTATGCCCAAGGAAGGAGGTACGAGGGCTGGGATACTGCCAAGTTTCCGAAGCCTAGACAGGAGCAGTCGATACGCTGGTTTCGAACTACGGACTTTCCGGTCCGTAATCTGGCGCCCTAACCACTGAGCTATCTCGAGCTCATGTAATGAACTGAAGAATAGGTTTTAGGTATCTTATGAGTCAGTCTAAGGCTCGAGGCCACTTGCAAGTTGCAAGTCTCTAAGGAACAAGTTGCATTCTCATTCTCATTCTGAGTCGCTGTCATCAACAGCATATCGGTGTTGAACACGATACAGAATACAATGAAGCCAAACATATGTGCAGACAATGCGAATGACAAGTCTTCGCAGCAGACGGAAAAAACTGTTACGTCGAATCGCGTACGGGCAGCTTTCAAGACAATCGTGGCATAACTGACGTGAAAGAAATTCAAGTGGCAATGCAGTTTACTACAACTCCAACGAACAAGTAGGTGAATTCTACTAACACAAGAGCCTCTGGCGTCGTAGTACGCAAAGATTATCGTTGGTGCTGTTTGAAGGTGTGAAAACTAAGACAGTGTACAATTAAGTAGCTCTGCGTGCAAACGCCGATGCGCGTGCGCGCGTACACACACTGAAAACATGGCATAACAAAACTAAATCTGAATCGTGTACTCATATCGAAATAGAGTAGTCTGGACTGTGAAGGTGACGCTGGGTATCAGCTAATTGATTGTGAAAATTTTCACTGACAACCAACATCCAGTCGGGCGAAACAGACATAATAAATCCAAGTTCTACGCAACAACTTGCGAAGAACGCCTAAACGGGTCCTAATGAGAGATAGCCGAGTTTGCGATGGCTCCACTGAGTATGCAGAAGAGGACGCTTTCAAACCGGTCAAGTATCAGGAGTTGCCGTGACATTTATATAAGTTTTAACATTGTAAGAGTCTAAAACACTTGTCAGAGAATACCGTCAACATGTCTGCCTGTCAACCGATTGAAAATTTTTTCCGGTGTTTACTTTACATAAAGTTTAGGAAAATTTGCGGCCGGAAACTTACATTTTCATTAGAAGAGGCATACAAAAGGACGATTGATCGAAATAAGCAGTAAAATTACCGTAAAAGTAAGGTAAGCCGTTAGGCAGCATGCAGTAAGGTAGGCCTGTAGTGCTTCTATCACACAGGTCTTGTTGATTAAGGCTTACAGGCACCCGCTCTGTGGTCAGTAGGTTAACGAAGAAGCAATAGTGCTGTCACAGGTGACAGGTATGAGAACGATGGGAGAGAAACGTGTAACAATCCCAAAATCACCAAGGTTACGGTCAGGTGACTGACCGGAGATGATTCGCTGTGAAGCTTTTCTCATCCGCGCCATGACAGGAGCTAGACTTTCATGTTTCCTAGGAACTTCACCCTGTCAGCCCGACAATCATTAGAGAACGTTGAATGATGAGTGTAGACCGGGGATAATGTGATTTGTTTCCTCTCTGGAGCGAATTGTAACTCCCTTCTTCATTGGGACTGCTCTCGCTTGTAAAGCTTTTATCTGGTGCTAGTAGAAAATTGGGTTAGAGTACTCCTTTGAGCTCCGCTAGACTGCTTCAAATGTCCTTTAGAATTTACATTTATATCACTCTCGTTTAAGAGATCCTCCCCCTATCCTGGCGCAGTTAGGCTGGTCAGTGCACATCAAAGAGGAGAAACATTGGACTTCAGTTCGCTCCTATTATAGCGATTCAGTAATGCCTTCTTTGACATAAAGAAACCGGGAAAAAATGATATTCGCCTGACAGAAATAGAAATTTACTTTTGTACTCCGTTACTCTTCCACAAGGCGGAACTACTCGTGACCAAGTTCGACTTGTATCTTACACAAACCTTGAATTGAAGCTCAAGGAATGTCTCACGAGAACTATATCAACCACGTTATGACTAATGCACTGTTAAAAAATGCGTTGCCATGAGTCCGTCCCAGATTGGATACTACTTTCAGCATCATTTGAAGCTTTCTAATAACTACCTGGTTCCTCGTGAACGCCTTGCATGCAACAGGAAACAGAAGAACCGACCTACTGTCAGCATACAAACAATAGGACGGGAGGAAATATCCAAATAAGAAAATGAAGGGCAGACTGGCCTTCTAAAAGCAGTTTTGATCTTTTTTATTCCAAGTTGAAGTAATAATTCCCAAACTGGAATTCGTGATTGGAGTGAGTGTTGAGTTCGAAACACGTAAACCGGAGTCAAAAATGTTCACACTCTACTTTGTCTGATAGGCGTACATTTGATTAGCTAAAATACGCGACAAATGGTTGGGGGTGAAATATCTTGACAGTTTTATAGCACTGACATGATGTTTTTCGGAAAATGTGCAGTTCTGTGGGTACAGAATAATTCTTGCTATTTTCTTCATAAGAACAATGAAAATGTTAATAGTGATACTAGTTACAAACTCACCTGCATTGACTGAGGCGGGTTAAACCCGGCTTTATGGAACTCGATGCGCTATCTAACCCCAGAGCCCCAATAACACGAGACTTGTTATTCGAAGTTGCTGAGCACAATTCTGAAGAAGCCGAACGATGAATTGGAGAAGGGACACTAAATGCGTGTAACTCATCCGAACACGACTTTCCAGAAGAGAATTGGGTTGCATTGACAGACTCCACGGAATGGGATGAAACACGTCCTAGGTTATACGGCAGTCTGGCTCGACGACTTCGTCCGCCGCGCATTCGATCTTTTCGCACAGCTACTCGATCGACCAAGGAAGGTTGTGGAGGGGAAATATGGCGGGGAGGATGAGGAGAAGGAACAAGGGGATAAAAGTCAGGAGGTGGGAAAAGAGGTGCTAGCTTTTCATGAACAGTGCAATCAAAATTGGGATTATTTGTGCAAGGACAGCAGGAGGAAGAAACAGTGGGCGAGTCTATATCCATTTTATGGATTGTTAGACAGATGAAAGAGAATTGTATCCCTGGTTTAATGCGGTAAGACAGCAGTAATTCGTTGGAGTAGCACAAGCGGTATAGTTAACAATGTATGAAAGCGAACACTGAATGCAGAAGTCTGAAACAATAAGTACTCTACACGTACGTCCTTCGGGATAGGAAAGCATACATCAGGCCTTTAAATACTTATCAAGGCAAAGAACACACGGTAACTGAGGTGTAGAGTGGACGAACTCAAGATAAAGTTCTGTACTGCATTGGGGATTCGGGGAGACGAAAGTTGTCCCCGAGCCCGTAGGATGCACATACACACTTTCCTCCAGTCTCCACGACAGGTCTTTTTAGAGCCGGATCGGAACAAACAACGAAGATTGTGTTGTCAGTTCGTAGGTAGATGAACCCCATACAACCCGTTTTACTGCGCATACAGGGTACACAGATTGGCTGCGCATTCCCTGCATCCCCAACAACACGCCTGCGTGCGGACAAGCACACAAATACACTTCGAGCGCACTCCACCCTACCCCCACTAAAAACCTAGTTGGCGCCACACGTGGCTATCCGATAAGGCAAAGGGTTGTAAACGGATAAGCGTCCCCTTCCAATCACTATTACAGAACAGAATGTCACCATCCTTTGTACACTCTCGAACAACGTCCACTTAGCCAAGTAACCTCGCCCTCCATTCAGTTAGGCGCTAACCCGAATTGTCAACACAACACCCGTCTTGTGTACGCACGCATACATTCCGCTGAGTGGTGAGCACGATGTGTATCAGTTATGCTCATTCCCATTTTCGACTCGAGCAGTAGTTTTCTTTCGGGTTAGCAAAACATGACGTGTGTGAGTCGGAATGGGAATGACAGACGGTTGGGTTGACCAAGATTAAGCTCACCAGTTGCGGACACAAAAGCATTGAAGAATGGGGAACCGAGTATGCTCAATATTTCGCTCTTGGAATGAGGAAAATATTGTGACGATGTCCAGAGTTGGAAAGTGATTAGTCAATTGGTTGGTCGAGACCATAGTTGTGGTATGTATGTGGGATGTTCAGCTCCAAGAATGCACATACAATCTGCTGCTGCACTAGCCCCACAAAGATGGGCTGCACGTTTGTACAGGAATGTTCGGAGGATGGAATATCCATCAAGCTGGAGCGCACTTAGCTTCCACGGTTGAATGTACGTTGACAGTATCAGACAAAGTGTACTTTTTTCAACCAAGAATCATGTGACTAAAACGTGCACCTGGTAGACTCTGCTACTGTCCCTTTACCGCATTGTGAAGTCAACTGTACATGCAGACTGCTGAAAGATTCAGTGGTTAGTTAGTCAACTGGCAGTAAGAACGGAAATTTGGTGTGCGGACGTAGGGTATTCGAAAACACCAACACCGGCGGTGATGAACTTCAGCGACGGAGAGAAACCGTGGAAGATAAGACCTAGGAAGGATAACCTGAGGATGCAGGCATAACTAGAACACTCAAGAACCATCAGTCCAGGTTTGGCAGCGGAGCTGCATAAGGTTCCTGTTATATCTGCTGATTCGCCGGTCTGTAGTATCTGCTGCTGACCCGCTCCAGTGCCTAGTGTCGGAGAGAAAAACGCTCACGGAAGGGAACCCAACAGCTATATTCCAACAAAGTGTTTGCGAGAGCGCGAGTGCGTGCGAGTGCGAAAAGTACAACGGCCTCAAGCTTTTTATTGGAAGGACACTGTCTGAACTTGGTCCAATGCTGACGCACACGGTCTGGCTGCGATGTGCTGCATATCGCGGGGGCGTTGTCTGACCTTGATCAACGCCGACTCGCGCTGCCTGGGTTTGATACAAGGTTGTGACGCGCTGCATATTGAGGGGGCGTTGTCTAGTGGACCTGAGAGTCTTGGTAGATTTCGGGCATTCAGTGGTTGCTTTCAGGAAGCTGACCTTCCTGATAGTCCCCGAGTACGGAGTGTGGTCCTTATCATTTGCAGAATATCGAAGAATACCGCTAACGCAAATACAGTTGGTTAGTTTATTGACTGGTGTCGTGTAATGTCATGGCCACAAGCATACTAATGCAAATAGAATATACATGGTAACTTGGTCCAACCGAAGACACGTTTGATAAATCCAAAAGACCTCACTTCAGAGTTACAATTCTTCTGACACGGTAATGCGCAGATGGTCTTCAGTGGAGTGTTGGGTAAAGTGCTCAACTCAATAAGGCTTTTAAACAAATTGTGGTTGTGTGGCAGCAAAGTATCAGTGTAGATCACTGATGCTGTGCTGTCGATGATAATGATGAATATTGCGCACGATACCGCCCCCATTAACCATAAACAGTTTGCTTCACTTTTCGATCACTTCAAGGGAGTACATGGATTGAATTCGCATGGTTCATGAAAATTGACCGGCAGATAGGTAAGTGAACTCAAATTTATCTCCTTCCTACAGCCCACTTTGAGAGTGTCCGAAGTTCACAAATTCCTGACGATATTCCATTGATCAAAAAGGTTCACAACACGAAGATTGACAAGGTTGGTCTTAGGCTCAACCGAGGCGGTCACCACACCAACTACAACACATCACTGATTCGGCATCCATAACCCGAATCCCGGCTGGTAGTGAAGCACAGTAGCATTCAGAAAACCGAAACAGCATTCAATCGAAAGACAACTTGGCATCTGCAACTTCCAGTGACTGAGAAAAGCCCAGCTGAGCTGGCATCACATAATTTGCATAACGAATATTGCTCAACTGATCGTCTCAGAACAAAAATTGAGTACCTACGGTTGAATAATGACTGCTAGGGACAAGACAAAACAGGTGCTCGCACCAAAAAGCACTGCACGGCACTTGTTACCCCCAGCATCATTGCACAGCTGTAAGACGCTTTCGAACGATTCTGGAAGTCAGCGGAACGAGGTATACTGTCCTCCTTAAAAGGGGAATTCAAAACTCATCCTGAGCTGAGCTCATTCGGCACTTAAAGCACCAAAGTAACTACAATTCGTGTCCATCGCAAGACTTGTCTGATAATTTTTGTTTCAAAGAACTCCGAAAAACCGACCAGGCTATCCAGCTGATCAATTGCTAGCTAACTCGACGGTGTGACCACTTACACCCGACACCAAAGAAGTCATGCAAGTGGAAATCCGGCGTTGAACAGCAGCAAGGAATTCTATGGGAAGGCAACAAACAAACACCCGTCATAGTCAGCAAGTGTGGTCGATGGCCGCTTAGTTTTGAGGTTAGCACGAATTGTAAGCCTAGTTACTGCAATTTAGAGACTAGCTTCACCCTTCCGCCGTTGACGATCGATATTGCTGGAAACATGCGACAAGTCCAGTGGAGACAGCTGATCATTAATAACTTAGGTTGCTTACGACAAACGTCCTTGTCGTACACGATAGTTCACGCTAGCAGGACTACGGACCTTTGATTTGACAGGATCGTTAGCCCCACATGGCGTTGTTTGCTCAACTATGGATCGGGTAGACGACCTGTCAGTTAAGCAAGGAAGCCATGAAGGAAAAATCTATAAGCTGGAGATCGTCATCCTCTAGACAAAGAAAACTAGACATAAAAAAGAGGAGACTTCCCAATAACACAGTCAATGGTGCTTCTGTGGCAGAGCCGTTAAATATCTAGTAATCTTAGAGATCGCCGCGGTCAAAAAGAGTGCATCACTCCTTCATCCCGTTTTTAAGTGCAAATCATTGAATTCGGTGCATTGCCTTGCCGAACTTCAGAAAACCGAAACAGCATTCAATCGAAAGACAACTTGGCATCTGCAACTTCCAGTGACTGAGAAAAGCCCAGCTGAGCTGGCATCACATAATTTGCATAACGAATATTGCTCAACTGATCGTCTCAGAACAAAAATTGAGTACCTACGGTTGAATAATGACTGCTAGGGACAAGACAAAACAGGTGCTCGCACCAAAAAGCACTGCACGGCACTTGTTACCCCCAGCATCATTGCACAGCTGTAAGACGCTTTCGAACGATTCTGGAAGTCAGCGGAACGAGGTATACTGTCCTCCTTAAAAGGGGAATTCAAAACTCATCCTGAGCTGAGCTCATTCGGCACTTAAAGCACCAAAGTAACTACAATTCGTGTCCATCGCAAGACTTGTCTGATAATTTTTGTTTCAAAGAACTCCGAAAAACCGACCAGGCTATCCAGCTGATCAATTGCTAGCTAACTCGACGGTGTGACCACTTACACCCGACACCAAAGAAGTCATGCAAGTGGAAATCCGGCGTTGAACAGCAGCAAGGAATTCTATGGGAAGGCAACAAACAAACACCCGTCATAGTCAGCAAGTGTGGTCGATGGCCGCTTAGTTTTGAGGTTAGCACGAATTGTAAGCCTAGTTACTGCAATTTAGAGACTAGCTTCACCCTTCCGCCGTTGACGATCGATATTGCTGGAAACATGCGACAAGTCCAGTGGAGACAGCTGATCATTAATAACTTAGGTTGCTTACGACAAACGTCCTTGTCGTACACGATAGTTCACGCTAGCAGGACTACGGACCTTTGATTTGACAGGATCGTTAGCCCCACATGGCGTTGTTTGCTCAACTATGGATCGGGTAGACGACCTGTCAGTTAAGCAAGGAAGCCATGAAGGAAAAATCTATAAGCTGGAGATCGTCATCCTCTAGACAAAGAAAACTAGACATAAAAAAGAGGAGACTTCCCAATAACACAGTCAATGGTGCTTCTGTGGCAGAGCCGTTAAATATCTAGTAATCTTAGAGATCGCCGCGGTCAAAAAGAGTGCATCACTCCTTCATCCCGTTTTTAAGTGCAAATCATTGAATTCGGTGCATTGCCTTGCCGAACCGAAGTAAAAAGTACAAAAAACAACAAGTAATAATAATAATAATAATAATAATAATAATAATCGAGCCGTACCCTTCCGGTGCAAAGCTGCCGTGCAAACCGGAGAAGTTACGAGCGCTTGGGTAATGTCTCGGTGCTTAGGTTTAGACGGGAGTAGCCGGAAGGCCAGGGTTGGATTCGAACCACGGACTTTCCGGTTATCCGGTGCGCACCTTAATTGCCGGGCTATCGCGAGCTAGCTCGAGCACACAAGTCAGAAGTTGATCGTTTGGTTGATTGAAAACAGTGCAATCCGTGAACCATTCTTTCATACAGATTTATGGACCCCAAGGATTTTGTGGAAGGACAAATAGCCAATTTATCAATGTAGACAACTCGACTGACGACTTTCGTTGGGATGGTCCATTATATGTCAACTTGAGACATGTTAGTTCGTTGCAGAAAGCGGTTAGCCGTGACCATTAGATAGCCTTTTCTGTCGAACCATACGTAAGAACAGGGCATTTGAGATATTTTTGCCACCATGGATAGCAAGAATTTCCGCAAATGTGCCCCTTTTGCTAACATTCAAATCGAGCTCAACGACGTGTACACCTCTGTTTCTCCGGAGGAAACACTGACATTTGTTCCCATTGTCCCACAATGCCGTGTATCCGGTAGAAGCCACAAAATGCGCCGTGTATGCGAATGTCGAAAACAGAATGAGGTTAGCACAGAAGAATTAAAACGGGTGTGGCTGTCACCTGGCCCAAAGGATGGGACATTCGTGATTGATTCGATGCTTTAATGGAAAAGCACTGCCAAATGATGTAACGACCCCTTAATGTCCACACTGAAACGTTAGTATGATAAAAGTTTGAGGAACGAAGTTGATATATTGTAGAGACAGATCTTTTCTTATTCATGAATGTGAATTCGACCACAAACAGCCTCCTTACGACCAAGACAAAGGAAGGCAGTAAAAGTAATGAAGATATCATATTGAGGGACAAGCGTAGCTTACCGGGAATGGCACACCCATTCATTAGCGAAATAAGAGTGACAATTAAGAAGATACGCTCGACAGACTAAACAAACAGAAAGATTATTGGACGAACTTAGTGATACTCTACTTTTTTAAGAAAGGCAGTTTTTGTGGCTGGAAAGAACCGAGTAAGTGCACCGTGGATTTTGTTGGAAAAGTTGTTTCCTCCAGTGGTACATTTTATCTCCTGTGCACCAGTTTGCACTCCAAGAAGTATTGGCTTCATTAAGCCCTACCATTTAAGTTACTTCTGTGACTGACAGCAGCATCAAAACCATCAATCATAAGGCTTCTAGCAGTAATAAAGGCCACATCTGTAAAGTCCCGCAAGACATGAGGGATGTTGAGGGACAAGCTCAGTGCCAAAAGTAAGAGAGAACAACCACAGAACATGTGAACCAACAAATAACTGATTCCAGAGAGATAAGTATATGCACCAAGACAGACGCATGCGGGAAACATACCTTCCACGCGCATCCCGACAGCAAGGCACTTTTGGAATCGACAGTGGGCACAGCGCTTGCGGTGTATTCGATCGATTACACAATTTCCATGCTCCGTGCAATGATATTCTTTCTTATTTTGAACCGTCCGTTTGAAAAAACCTTCAACCAGATAGAAAGATTAGAAAAGTCATCACTCACCTTTGCATGATTCACAAGTAGGTAATCCATAATGATAACCTGAAACCCGATCACCACAAATGGGACATCGTTCGCAGGAGAGTTGAATATCAGCAGATGAATTGCGCTGACTGCACGCCACCTGACTACGCGCTGAATCTACGGTAAAGGATAAATTGAATGGGTAGACCCAATAGCAGCAGGCTTACCTAGAGGACTACTGGGATCAACACAATCTAGGCCACTGGCGATTTCATAGGAATCTACGCTGAGCGAATCCTCATTGAATGTCTTTGGTCCCGAGCAGAACGCACGATCTTGCAGAGCTACCATCTTAACGGCCGTCGATGGTTGATCAGCGTGACTTGGTGACGAGCCAAACATGGCCCAAGATGAAGTGATAGTCAAATCTAGTACAGATTGTAGTCAGTCATGGATTGATCAAGCATCAATCTAAGAATTCTCCATCGCACAAAATAGCTTCGGCAATACCAAGGTGGCATCGTGACAACACTGCATGCGTAACATAGAGTCGATTGAGCTGTAAAAGTCAAAAGAGACAGTTAATTTGGTTACCAGAGATTTGCATCACAGTTACCATCGAACAATAGGCGGCTGAAGTGGACCAACAAATTCCTTGCACACAGATTTTTCGTCAAAAGAATGCCAGATCTGCCACTGCACTTTCGCCAGGATGAACTACAATTCTGTGCTGTATTGTTGCGTGGATGAATCATCCACCAAGTTGCATGAGATTGTTTTTCAAGGACGCATGGATATCAACACCACCCAAAGAGATGCATGTCGTGTGACACAGTAACGTGTATTTCTCACATACCTCTGCTGAATCCGGTCAGCTAGAGCACATGCATCGCACAGCAAAATCCACATACACGCGACTGAAATACTCGATCCCATACACTGAAGACAAGTTCTTGACACTAATTAAGCGTGGTATGAACGACAGTACAAAACTGGCCGCTCCAATCTAGCAAACAAAACAAATCGATACGCGAGACCGGTACAGTTGAAAGTAGGCACACAGAGGGGAAGTTGATGAATACATAGCTTCCGGTAGACAGGCGGAAACAAAAGACAACCTGACAGCTGAAGACAGTTGAGTTATTTTATCATGGCATTCGATTTCAACCAGTTTGGTAGCGGACCTGTAGTTCATGAAGAGCGAAACTCGGTTTGTAGCATTGTTCGCAGGATGAAGAATAGGGTTTTAGCACCCAACATTTTTCCTTATGTTGTATTTGTTTTGTGCATCGCCACAATATCGTTAACAGGGAAATGCATTTGGACTGAACGACGAGAGGGCCCACTTCAACCTTGTTTGGGACGAAGCGTTAAACATGCAACTAACTAGCTCTGTAAATATCCTGAAGTCTCTAGTTTATATGTAGATAGTTTCTGCTACCGGAACGACGCGGAAGACCTTCACTAGAGGTTGACCAATGTTTGTCACTATTAAATCCCTGGAAACTCACTCATCTTAAAACGACCTTTCAGGCTGAAGATAACTCAGCAGTTAGGGTGCGAAACTACTGATTGAAAGTCACGTGGTTTGAGCCCAACAATGACTCTTCCACTGCCAGTGACTAGCTTGATTAGACTGACAGTACTTCGGCCCTCGTTCTTTCTTCCGTTTGCATGACAGCTATGCTCCGAAAGAAAGCCACAGCTAAATGATTGTCGTCATTAATATCATTGTTATTATCAGCATTATAGTTACTCAGACACTCCTCTCTACCGAGGTCAGAGGAGTGTGAAAGTACCATTGATTAGTACTGATTACAGAATAGCGAAATGCCACCAGCCGATATATCCGGTTCTGTTAACTGAACACACGTGCAATGAATGGCATATTCGATACCATCGTGGTCTATTGCAAGTCTAGGCGTGAGCCACATGTTTCTGAAAGCTCAATTCCAACCGCTAACAAATAGGCTGTTGGAGCCTCCCGGAGTCCCTAGTGCTAACTGAAAAATCCATGGTTTTGCCTCAGTCCCTTTATTTTACCTCTTTTCTGACTTTGATAACAAAGAATTTGGTAGCATTCACCTCTTAGTAAGCATGTTTGACCAACGATCCTACTTCATCCTCCATCAAACTCCAAAACAAAATTATGCATATGCGACTTGTCAATAAAATCGGCTGTTCTCCTTCCCAAGAAGGTTTTCGATAAAAACTATGATCCTCCTTTACTCTTGCGTTTAGAGACGCAAAATTGGGGAAAACCGAGGTCGCCTTTCATTCTGCGTCCAAAAAGAATTCCGCAACATTGTCGGAGGGTAGTAAAACTGTTGAACTGGGGCCACTGGTTATTCCGAACAATCAGATTTTCTAGTTCTGCTACTTCTTGAAAAGCTGACCGTGGTGTTTATGATGCACAGCTAATCCCTTCATCTGCCCCCGGGTCCCTAGACGTTGTAATCACTTCGGTGGCAGCGAAGTCACTGCTCGGAAGCCCAGGAGCTTACGGCGATCGTGCAGTATTTCTGTGGACTTACATCCGTCACATGAGTAGGTGAAGACATGCGGACCCAACAATCAATCATATTCCAGTGTCCACTGAATGTAGGTTACCACCGGCATGTGCAGAAAGCATGAGAATTTCCAGAATGTTGTCTTTATATACATTTTGAAAACGATACGTTGCGAACGAGTTTTTGATCTGTTCTTTAATACACTTTAAGCAACCACGATAGTTCTTATATGAACATCACTATCACCGACATCATCAACGACAGTAACACCTTCGCTGCCGTACAATAATGTCAATTTATTTGAATAAAGCTATACAAGGGAAAACTGTGACAGAGAGGATGACCTAGGATTGCCTCTCGATTGGAGACACTTATGTGGATTCTGACCATGCGCTCGTCAGAAGTTGATTCTACCTTCGATCTCCAGGGCTGTGTAAGGGGTCAAAAAGTCGCTTAGTAACTGATAGACGGGCAGACCCCGGTGTTGGACGAACTTATCATATTCATCTTCTAGAGTGCCTTTCAACTGCTAAATCACCTAATTGGAATTTATACTGGACGAGATCGCCACGTTTTCGCGCACGGTGCTACCAGGTCTGCTCAAGCACTGGATATAAAACGGAACAGTGGTACTAAATGAATCTCGGTCCCGTCGTTCCAGGAAATAATGTAGCACGACGAATTATCCAACGTTAGGTGAAAAGTAGCGTGCGCACTGGCCGTAAAATTGAAGACACGTAGAACACCGGCAATGTCTAAAGATTACTAGGGTTAATCCGTTTGACCAGTCCACGGAAACCACTGGCGAGCGAAACCATCAAGGACCGGAGCGGCACGACCATATCCCACAAGGGAATCTTCGACCGCTGTGCCGAGCACTTTGAACAATTCTCGTGGCCGCTTGCTGCCACTCAGTTGGATTCTTGAACTGAAGTAGAACCTGAAACTTCCTACGGGTTTACGCCTAGAGAGGGAAAGTCGAGAGATAGAGGTTGAGTTCGAACCACGGACCTTCCGGTCAGGAAATTCGCGCTCTAACAACTGAACCATCTCGCCCTCATCTACAATCTAAGGAGACATCCGAGGTTTTGCAACACCTTGCGTTCCTCAGAAGTCGCATAAGTTCTAATCGCAATGGGAAAGATGAAAGTAATGCACGAATCTCTGGCATTTGCCACTTCTAGACACCCATGGCAGCAAACTAGCATATCCATAAATCCAAATGGATGTGTATCGGGGTACAGTAAGGCCTGTTTAATTGTGTGGCGCTAAGACGTGACCTCTGCGAGCAGCAGACCTGACAACTCAAGGTCACTGATAACGCATGCGTGAGATCCACAGTTCCTGCGGGCTAGTGTCGGTGAATCCGCAACGACAGCTAGAAAACGAGTTTTCGGTTGTGGGCCAGGGGCATCAACCGAAGAATGTGTCCAACAGCGAACACAGCGGTGCCAACACCATGCACTGCCAATGACAAACCTTTGTTTTCCGGTGGAGCATTTGAAGAGACTCTAGAAGACGATTCCAGTAAATTCGTCTAACATCCGGTTCTGCCAGCCTCTCAGTTGCCAAGCGATTTGTTTGCACCATACGCGGTCCTGGAAAACGTAGGGAGAAGGACTTCGGACGAGCGCGTGGTTGGAATCCACAGATGTGCTCCAAAACGACCACCAGCCAGCTATTGATCTGCGGCATCGGTTATTGAAGGCAATGTGATCGATTTGAGTTCGTGACCGGCACGTCGGAAGAGCACACCATGTGAATAGTCGACCAAGGCTATTTCGGAAGTTGGCACTGCATAAAAACAGCCTACGATCTGCAAACGGCAGAAGGACTCGTACAACGCTGTCCGTGAGTACCGAGTCCAGTGTGCCAGGATTTTTGTGTGCTTATTATTATACTTACCCTATATACCCGTGTTGGACCTTCGTATGTACTTTTCAGCTCATCAACCCTTGTTCTTAGACAAGTAAAACATTGCCTACCTCGATAACTCGGACTCTGTTCTAACTCATTCTCGGATATATTCTGGAACATCTCAGTTTACTTGCCTAAGAACACAGTGGATCTGCAGCTACGACCTCGGTTTTCCGACGCTGACCCAAACTCTGCAGATGCAAAACGCTGGAATCACTGGTTTCATACCTTCGACACCTATCTGAAAACTGTCGAATCTTCTAAACCCAACAAACTTGAAACTCTCAGTGAATTTTCGGATCTACTGATGATCACGTTGCTAATTACACTGACATGAAAATTATATGTCCGCCCTAAAAATGTCATATATGCACGCAACCTGATGCAGACCTACAAGCAAGAGAATGGACAGGATATTGACCAATTCGTACGAAAACTGAAATCATTCGCCAACGACTGTGGGTTTAAACGGGTATCTCCAACTGAATGTCAAGATGAGTGCGTGCGTGATGTCCATGCCTATCCGCGAAAAACTTCTAACACACAGCGCACTCACGCTTGACCAACCACATCCCTCGAACCGTCCAACAAACAGTCACAGTCATATGTTATAAACAAACCTATACCATTCTCTACGATTCTGCCCGTTTCACATAATCCCGAACTATGTGTCAGAACCGACACGTCCGACCACTGCTGCTGTATCTTCCGTTCAAACATGTTATGTCGTTCAGCTGTAACATCTTTTTGGTCCCTAGCTGCCATGCCACCAGGAGGAAGCACGAGGGCTGAGATATTGCCAGGTTGCCCAAACCTGGATAGGGGAAGTCGAGAGGTAGAGGTCGGGTTCGAACGACGGACCTTCCGGTCAGGAAATTCGCGCTCTAACCACTGAGCTATCTCGCCACAAACATGCTATTTCTGCGGTTATGATAGGCATCCTCGTTCAAAATGCCCCGGTCGGGAAGCCGTTTGTAATGTTTGCGGTAATGCAGTCAACTTTGCCGGGTTTACCGTTCAAAAAATACCACTAGGTTCCATACAAACTGTGCAGTGAAGCCCAATTTATCGTCATTATTCTTTGCAGTAGCACCTACCTGCCTTGCACATGCCAACGCAGCCATTCAAGTTAT